TTTCGTGTTTATTTGGCTCCAACAAAGTTCATAAAGTTCAATAAGGCATTTGCTTACCTTGCTAGTTAAATCCTGGCCAGTTCGCTCCATAGTTCCAGGACAACCACTGACTCCACTTCAGCCTCACCTGTATAATAACTATTGAAAAGGGGATACAGAGCTCAGAATCATGTGACAAAATGCTGCAGTTTCACCAAAACCATAATTTAAAGGTTAAACTTAATAACGCTGGGTACATTGGATTAATGATAGGAAATAAATTGAATTGGGTTGCTAAATGCGCTCTATTTGCCTGTATAGCATTAGTGGTCAGCATTAAGTAAAGCAAAGGTGCAATGCACCATACAAAAGCTGCAGGTTTGTATGAAGAAGTCAAACAATAAAGATCTTTCTACAGGTATGACATTTTCTAACAGAATCATTTTAAAATGTAAACCAATATTCCCCTTATGGGCCAGAGTCATTTTTATATTTCCACTATTCAGTCAGCCACAACTTTTTGTGCCACCATTTTTTTTGCTTTCTATGGAACCTATGGACAAAAATCATAAAATGGGCTTTTTTTCTAGTTTGACCAGCGTTATTTGTAGAACAACTGGGGTTACTAAATATAAATAGTGCAGATTTCATTCTATATTTATACTCCCATTTATAATGACACTAAAGTGATGCTTCAGGTAAAAAAGGAAACAAGGTGAAGTTTTTTATTTATGAATAACTTAAAGTGATATTAAAGCCTAATTTTTTTTTATTTCTCCTTTAAAGGAGAACTATGAGGTGGGGGCTTTTCACTCACCTCATAGAATTAATTCCTCATTTTCTAGTGGGTCCCCGTCACGCTCTTCCCCCCGCCCCCTGCACGGGTGCCACCATCGTTCTAATGGAGGCACCCGTGCCCGCAGTGGCTGTGTGCATCCAAAGACACACACAGCCCTGTGGCAGGCCACGCCCCTTCGCTCTTTGATTGATGGCAGAAGGAGACTATCGGTCCTCTGCCATCAGTATCCTCCCCCCGCAACCCTGAAGTTTGGGGAACAGAGGATCGCTTGGGGCCAGCGATGGGGACGAGCGCAGCTGATAGGTAAGTGTGGGTGAGACTGGGGTAGAAAAAAGGGGCTGGGCCGTTTTTACCCTAATGCAGAGAATGCATTAAGGTAAAAAAAACGCCCAGACCTTAATACTACTTTAACATTTTATTTAAAATCTTATTTATAATTTTTTTCAATATTGCACGTTTTTTAAAATGCAAAACTGATTTAAAAACCTACAGATGGAATAAAATGAAAAAAAAAAATAATAGTAAACAAATAGAAATTAAAAAAAAATGTATGAAAACAATAGCTAAATAAAGGGGAGAAAGGGAAGCAGGTGTTAACTTAAAGTGACATTAAACCCTCAGATTTTTTAACATAAACCAATACTGTAATGTGTGCCTTACTGTAATCCATGGTAGTTTCCCTTCTCTTTGCTGCTCTTCCTTTTAAATCCTCATGTCTTCTCATGCTTGGGGAGAACTTCCCTTTTCAGCTCAGGGCCTCTTCCTGTAGTGCTGGCTCAGATTACAAGCCTATACAAACGTATACACAGACACCGTGTATCCATTCCTGAGACAAGGCAGTCTGCTGCAAAACAGAAGTTCTGCAGAGCATGAGAACAGATACAGATTTAAAAGGAAGAGCAGCAAAGAGAAGGGAAACAACCATGGATTACAGTAAGGCGCACATTACAGTATTGTTTTATGTTAAAAAAATGTGAGGGTTTAATGTCACTTTAAGGCTTTACTTGTAAGGTAGCAGGAACTGATTTCTAATGGAGAGCAAAGGTCATCCCTTCAATCTATCCATGAATAAAAATGAAAAGTAAATACAATGTAACACTAATGGAGTTGCATCACATTTCTCAATGAAGCCTCCATGCTGTACAGAATCTTAATTTACCACAGCAGCAGTTGCAGCCACTTTGATGATACAGAGCAATGACAACTGGGATTTGGCAATAATGGCATTGGCTTCTGAAGAGGCACTATAGGTTTTTAAGAGAGCATCTCCTACGCCCATGTTCTGGGAGAGGACAAATACAGTATATATATATATATTCAGGGCTCAAAATTTCAAGTCCTGAGCTACTAGCCAGGCCTTAAAAGTTACTCGCCACCAGTTGCCCCACCTAACCCCTACCCTGCCCCGGACTTAACTCCGCCAGGTCAGTGGTGTGGCATAGAGTACAGAGATCAGTAACAACGCAGAGTACAGAGGCCAGCGGTGTGATGCACAGTACTAAGGTCAGCAGTACAGAGGTCAGTAATGTAACTCGGAGTGCAGAGGTCAGCAGTGTTAAGCTGGCCATACACCTTACAACCATCGCACAACTTTCGTTGTGCGATGGTTGTAAGGTAATTAATATTTTGTACGATCTGCCCATCTTGATTTATTTATTTTTTAAGATTATTTGCAAAAATCAAATGCTTAATATCTTCTTATAGATACAAACTCTTTTTTTACTAAGCCTTTGATAAGGTTTTCTTAACCTATTTGACAAAGGATTCCTATGGCACCATGGGTTAGCTAAAGAGGCAGCACAGCAGAAGTTCCCTTTCAAACACTGCTGTCTCTCAGCTTTGGCAGACACTTTTACAGCAAAAGAGACATGCAGACATTTCTTCTGCAGTAAAAGCCTAACTGTCAGCAAAGTTTTGTTGTTTAGATTTTGGTTCCACTTTAACTAGAAAAATATAATCTTTTGTAACATATTTGGTAGTCCTTACCATAATAAATAAGGTACATATATGCATAACCACTATACAGTCCCTTTAAGATGGCAGTCTTCCTGAAAGTATTGTTTCAGTTTTGGGCAGAAGCTGGAAAGTTATATAGAACTGCTTCTTAAAGGAGAACTATGAGGTGAGTGCTTTTCACTCACCTCATAGTTCTAGCCGACCTGTGACAATGAGACTGTCACAGGTCGGCTCAGTAGATCGGGAGGTGAGCGAACACATACCGGCGTTCGCTCACCTCTCGATCCTGTCACGGCTCTCTGCCGTGACAGGGGAGGGGCTGGATTCCCCCCTCCCCTCTCCGCTCCGCCAGCGCCGACTGGCGGAACGGACGGGGGAGGGGGCGGGTACAGCTGGCTCTGCCTCTAGATAGGCAGAGCCAGCTGTCAGTCACGCAGCTGGGCGGATCCCGGCACAATTGTCGGGATCCGCTTCAGCTGCGGCGTCTCAGTATACTGCGAGCAACTGCTCGCGGTATACTGTGGCGTCTCAGTATACCGCGAGCTACAGCCTAGGGTGACGGGAAGACGCTAGTTTGTGTCCTCCCGTTACCCTAAGGAGAACTATGGGGAAAAGACTTAACCCCATAGTTCTCCTTTAATACAGCTCTGTAGTCATTAATACATCATTAAATGTATTTTTTAAATGCAAGCAGTGTAAGTACCTGAATTTGACCCGACAACAGCCTCAGCATGCTGATAGGAAAAGAAAGCAGAGTGATAGAGAGGTGAGCTCGTCACTGTGCTGCTTCTCCTTTCACTGTCCAATGATAGGCTGAGGGCGGTTCCAGGATGACCTGGACTCAGAGGAAGAGGGTTGAATGATGCTGGCCATCAAACTGGGGACACCTAACAGCAGGAAGAAAAAAAAAGTTCTTTGGGTGAAATCTTTGGATTTATGGCGAAGAATACAGCAAAAGCTTTTATTATTTTATATTTTAGTGGCCTATTCATTTTTACTTTGTTTTTTTTGGCTGACTTTCTGCTTTAACTCTCTCTGTTGACGAGATCTCTGAGGATGAGTCCCCAGGTCTTTACACCTACTGCAATCTTTGTGAGGGCATCACATTTTCCAGGTCAGAGTTGTATTTAAAGTGACATTAAAGTGACATTAAAGCCTAATGACCATGCTGGTCTAAGGACTTACCTTAAATAATGCCTCTTGATCTGATCATCTTCTTCTTTCCTGTAGTTTTCAGGAGTCCCTCCGGCGCTGGTGCTGGTCTCTGATCCAACACTGATTCCTGCCCCTTCCTGTCCCACGGAGTCTGTACGGTGCACGCTGCCTCCATTGACTTACCCTGTGTCTCTCCTCTTCTCCCGCCCGAAGATCTGCTACTGCGCATGCGCCCGCCCCATGATCCTTTGCGGCCACCCGATAATCTTCAGATCTTTGGACGGGATCGCGTGGCGGGGGCTCAGATAGGTTTAAACCCTTTTGTTAACTTTTGCTTTTTTAATGTTTTTGCATATATCTACTGCTTGCTAGCAGTAGATTTATGCAAAAAAACGTGAGGGTTTAATAATCCTTTAATTAATTTTGGAAATGTAATAGGAAAATGTGAGTGGGAAGATCCTTTAGATCTACCAACAGCTACGTACAAATTGATTAGATAGTTCAAGCAGGTCATCATATTACATAGTTTTGGTAAATCTAAAGAAGATTGTACAGTCGGATTGTAATGGGCTTGTTAAACTTTGGACAATTGTGCTCCTCCAACCTTGTGGCAACAGTTTGGTGAAGGGCCTTTTCTGTTCCAGCATGGCTGTGCTCCTGTGCATAAAGCCAGCTCCATAAAGACATGGTTTAAAGAGTTTAGAGTGAAAGACCTTAAGTGTCCTGCTTGGAGCCCTGGCCTCATCCCTACTGAACACCTTTGGGATGATTTTGAACACTAATTGCAAACCAGGTCTTCTTGTTTAGCATATGTACCTGACCTTACAAATGCTCTTTTGGCTGAATAGACACAAATTCCCCAGACAAACTCCAAAAATCTGTTGTTAAGTGGCATTGTAGGAGTTGGGCGGGGGGGCAACACCATATTAACTTCCACAATTTTGAAGTGGGATGTCCAGCAAGCTCATAAAGGTGTGATGGTCAGGTGAGTCCACTAACTTTTGCCCATATACTGTATAAAATGCAAGACAGGGAATTAGCCCTCCAGACTGCACTTAGTGCTAAAATATTGGGTATACTGACGAGTTATTTTCCTATATTGACTAGCAGCATGGAAAGTGATGAAGGTCTGTCAGTCGAAGACTCGGAAAGACCAAATGATGAGGAGCTACCATATTCTGATGATGAGACTGATGATGAGCTAGATAGTCCCCAGTCTCCAGGACCAGAAGACAATGAAGTCACAAGAGGCCCTGAACAGGAAACGCCGCCAAAAGGTAAGTGTTCCTTCTATCTGATTTCAATGTTGTCAATTTATACAAATTTAAGTAATAACCTTTACATGTTGGCATGCCTATAAAGAAAACTCAGGCTGTACAGAATATGACGGTACTATATAAAATAAAACATACTACTTTTTTTCTTGGTGGCCAATACAATGTGCAACTGTAACGGGTGGAATCCGTTACAGTCCAAAACCTTTTAATCACTCAACAAAACAACAGTAGATATCCAATGCATTTTGGGGGCTACAATTCCTTCCTTCATCAGGGCTGAATGGAAATAATAAAGTTTTGGATGGACTCAATCGATGGCTTCTATGCTGACTGCATTCAGAGGTGAAAAGACCAATTGGCCAGTAGTAGTGTCAGCAAGGACAGCCGAAATGTAAAAAAAGCCTGTTACATTTGGATTTCTCCATCTTGGTCCAGCCCCTCCCCTAGGGGCCTCCCAATTCCTGCAGAAGAGCTGCCTAACCTAAGGGGTCTACTGATTCCTGCAGAAGAGCTACCTAACCTAAGCCATTAGGCTCAAGCAGTGATTCCACCCCCCATTCTCTGAAAAGTTTAAGAAAGTTACCAGTCCATTGGCCTCGTTTGCAATTTGCCTAAAATTTTTCTGTAAAGTCATTTATTCCAGTTAGCTTTTCTGTGCTTAGCAAAGATCTCGGCTTCATAGGATTTCTTCTCTGAAGTATAAGCTGAAAAGGATTTCTCTGTGTTGAGCCACCCCACTGTTGTTACCAGCAAGTTATATCTCCTTATATTTCTTTATAGATCCTGCTGGAGATGCTCTGTCTCTCAACCTACTTTGAAATTTGGTGCCCGTAGCTTGGTTGTAAATCGCTGGCCATACTTTCGACTCCTTTGGAGCCACTGGAAATCACAAATATGAGTTTTTACCAGAAATAAATGATCTACTACACATGAGTTTGATTGACACCTGAGCTTTGGGTCACCGGAGGATGCTAGTTTATGTCCTCCCGTGACCCTTAGGAGAACTATGGGGAAAAGCACTGACCCCATAGTTCTCCTTTAATTTGGGCAATATCATTCCCTTCTCCTTGTGGTCATTCAAAACCACCATTTATTGTCTTAAATGTTGCATTTGCACATGTATGGCAATCTTTAAAATCTCATAATGTTTCCGAAAATGGTATAGCATCTCCCGTCTCAGCTTCTTGGGGGGGCACTCACTACCCAAAATAAAGCGATCATTTATTATTCTGACTCCGATTGTTGTATTAGTGATTTATCCCACGCTGAGACCTCTATGCCTGGCCGTTATAAGTAGATATAATCACTGCGGACAATCCTTATCAGATAGCTGAACTCACCAAATACCTTTTCATCCACGGAGAGCTTTATTCCATTCAGCAGGCTAAAACAGACAACCGGATACACCAGATGAATGAACAAATGGTATTTAAAGATCAAGGATGATAATGTTTTTAAGCTATCATGTACATGTGGTCCTGCTATAAGCAACCATGATACTCGACTAGTTCTTGGAGGGGGAAATACATCATAGATGGGAGGTAGGCACAGAAAAAGATTGCAGTATAATAATCAGCTATACTAATACCACAGATAATGGCTTAAGGAAAATAGCTATATAAATTCTCACTTCACATTTGTATGAATATTAACTATGGCTTTGAATTGTGTGATATCCTACAGCTGTGTAACAGCAAATTTATTCTAAATATTCTCTTCTTTCCTTTCAGCTTGCAACTGGCAGGTTAAAGCAAATGATCCTAATTTCTACAAGCAACCACAATTCATGAAGAAAAAGTATTTCTTTTTTAAGAAAAGTAAATACGCTGTATGTATTTTGGCTTACTTATTTTCCTGTAGGAAACTAACTTTTTTTCTAATTAGTTTTATTGTACATTTTCTGAGAAAAAAAAAAGGAAGACTGAAAAAAGTACAAGCGTCACGCATAATGGAATATGGAAACTGGTCTTCTTCAACTAGCAGTTTGTTGCAGAACACATTTAATGGTATTGATTAGGGATGCACCGATACCGATACTAGTCATTACACGCTGCCCGGCTTCCTGATTGGCCGGGAAGCCGGCTTCATGCTCCCTTGTCATCTCATGGAGCCGGCTTCCCGGCCAATCAGGAAGCAGGGTGCCGCGTCATTACACGGCGCCTGGCTTCCATGATTGGCCAGCAAGCCGACGCCATGCTTTCTCGTCACATAGTGACGAGAAGCATGGGACGGCTTCCTTGTTAATCGGGAAGCCAGGTGGCGAGTCTTTACACGCTGCCCGGCTTCCCGAGTACTGGAAACAAAATATTGGTACTCGTACTCGGTACCAAAATACCGGTATCGATGCATCCCTAGTATTGATTATTTTATCAAAGAAATAATTACTCTAAAAACAGTTGAAAATACAAAGACAGGGTACTGGAGAGGAGTCTAAGGTTTTACAACTATGGATGGATAGGGTCACTTCTGGACTTTTGTATAGGGTCCACAAGAGAACTGTAGCAGAGGGGTGTTGTATCTCCAGCTTTAATGGAAGCAATAATAGTGACAATATATTTTTGTGAGTTTATGTCATATACTAATTGACATGAACCACCAATGATAATGTGTGCACACATCCTCCTCTACATCTGATACTACAGGTGATGTCAACGACAGCAAAAGTTATATTCTAAATTACAGGGAGAGGTCACAGTATAAGCAACACATATATTGGTTCTGTGTGATGACAAAATCAGTCATGCATGCTGCAACATTCATGTGCAATTGGGAACAAATTACATTTTCTAATCCCACAGGTTGACTTTTCTGACAACAATGAATTCTGGGTATCACGTGGTATATTCATCCTTGTGTGGTCAAAGGTTTTCATCTAACATATTAGAATAATTTATTTTCTTTGATATTTTTCTTACATGAATGTGTGCTTTTAAAGTGCATACTATGAGAACACTGACCCTGAAAGCAGATGATACTGTATATGGCCAAAGGTTTTTTGACAGCCTACTATTACTCCTTATATGGTCAGATGTATGTGAACATTCCTCAAAGTTATTGAGTTCAGGTGTCTTTATTGAAGGGAACTGTTAATGCTGAAACATGCAAAGTCATTTTACACCATTATGTGCTTTCCAATCTTTCTTGGAAATTGCAAATGTTTTGGGTCAGACCCTTTGCTGTTCCTGTCCACAAAACCAGGTCCATAAAGACATGAATCCTCGAAAGTTGGCAATGGCCTCCAAAGTTGGTAACGTCTGATAGGAGTAATTATGTATACTTGACATGCTGCTGATATAAGAAATATTATTCGGAAGAATAAAGGGGGAAATACAGCCATGAGCGAACAGAATGTTTGTTATTTCCATAAAGACATGGAGGGGAATTTATCAATACTGGAGCAGACATAGTCTGGAGCAGTTGTACATGGCAACCAATCAGCGTCTCTGTTTCATTTAAAATCTTAACTGAACAAACTGAAGGGAGAAGCTGATTGGTTGTCATGCACAACTGCTCCAGATTTTGTCTGCTCCAGTTTTAATAAATTCCGCCCATGGTATGTTGAGTTTGGTGTGAAGAAACTTGAGTGGCCTGCACAGGACCCTAACCTAAACCCTACTGGACATCTTTGGGCTGAATTGGAACTCCAACTGAAAGCCAGGTCTTCTTGTTTAACATCTGTACCTGCCCTCACAAATGCTCTTTTGGCTAAACAGGTGCAAATTCCCATAAAACAATCCAAAGGTTTGTTGAAAACCTTCACTGAACAATAAAGGCTGTTATAGCTGCATATCAAATATTCCATTGTAATGCCCATGGCTTTGGCATGGATATTCAAATAGCTCATATAGGTGCTATGGTCAGATGTTACCAAATTTTGGCCATACAGTGTGAGTATACTTTTAATAATGCCCAAATGCATGAACATTTATAAAATATGTTAGTGACCATCCTTAATCATAAAACATTATTCATCTCATCTTCTTTTTTGTAACTAAATGTTCCTCCTCTTTGCACAGAACAATGAAATCAAGACATCCAAATACAATATAATCACCTTTCTTCCGCGAAACCTTTTTGAGCAGTTCAAGAGGATTGCCAATGTCTATTTCCTGTTCCTGCTTGTCTTACAGGTAATGGAAGAATTTTTTATACCGTAAATGTCAAATTACACCCATTTAAGAAACAGACTAAGACTTTTCAGGTTTGCTTTAAGTCAGGGATTCTTAATATTTCAACAATTACAAATCCTCCCAATGAACTGCCCAATATGTCCCCATACCAACTTTTGCAGACTGTTGAAATCATCATCATCACTACTCCTATTAACTACTTCAAAAGCTTTCAATAGCTTGGTTCTATTTTACATATGGATATAGGTAAAGAACAGCTAAACAGCTGACACATGTTATTTGCATGTTATCTGACACTATGGGGTTGATTTACTAAAGGCAAACATCATTTTTTATTATTATTACCATTATACAGGATGTATATAGCGCCAACAGTTTGTGCAACGCTTTACAATATAAGGAAGACATTACAATTACAATACAATTCAAGACAAAATGGTAAGGAGGGCCCTGCCCCTGAGGGCTTACAATCTAAAAGGGAGGGAGAAGTCATACATGAGGATGTAGCTGTGTGGGGATGAATTGTTTGAGAACCTGATGGTTCAGTGGTTAGGTTGAGGTGGGATAGGCTTAGAATTTGCACTTTTTCAGTAGAATTTCCCCTTAGCTTAGTGAATGTGGTGAAAATTAATTTTGTAAAATTCCCTTGCAAAGTTCAAATTCCCATGCAAAGTGAACATCAAATTTGTCTTAAAGGAGAACTATGAGGTGAGTGATTTTCACTCAACCTCATAGTTCGAGCCGCCGTGTGACAATGAAACTGTCACACGTCGGCTTTATAGTTCGGGAAGTGAGTGAACACATACTGTTGCTTGCTCACTTCTCGATCATGTCCCTGCAGAGAGCCGTGACTGTCACTCACCACTCGATGCAGGAATTCCCCCCTCCCCGCTCCGATCCTCCAGGGCTGAACGCGGAACGGATGGGGGAGGGGGGTCCAGCTGGCTCCGCCTCTAGGCGCAGTAATGTCGGGATCCGTCCTGGCTGCGGTGGTCTCAGTATACCGCGAGCTGTAGCTTGCGATATACTGAGCTTTGGGTCACGGGAGGACGCTAGTTTACGTCCTCCTGTGACCCTTAGGAGAACTATGGGGGAAAAACACTGACCCCATAGTTCTCCTTTAAGTAAATGAATACCTATAAGTCCATTTCCCCACTTTGATTTCAGATTAAAAAATGAAGAGAATTGTTTAATTTTTTTAATGTATTTGGCAATCTAGGGCCATACCTCAGCATTTGGTTCCTATACTCCAAAGGGGTAAGGATAGCGCCAGATAACAACCCCTGCCTTAGTATTATCAAGATGTACCACTAGGTTCTTCTCAGAAGGTCACTTCCAGGCTATCAACACTATGTCCAGTCCAGAGGACTGCGAATGCAGTTCTCCAAAAGCCAGGCTAAGGACAACCAAGCCAGATACCTGCACTCAGAGAGACAAAGCTCGAGCAGTGATTTAGAGAAAAGTCTTGACTGAAGAAACAATGGAAGACAAAGAAAAGTGCTAGCAAAAATAGGTTGGTTTTTAACACTCAAGAGCTGAAGAAAAGATGTCCGCCTAGGACACTATCAAAAAACTTGTGGTAGGAAAGGTTTTTTTGGGCAGGTCCTATAGTTTTTTGTAGGTTAAAGACTTCCTGTGTCCCTCCATGGACTTTAAGAAAATAATTCACAGTGAGAACAAGAATCCTATTTTATTTCCCAAGCTAATAAATATATTGGTACCCTCAGAGTCCAGCCTACTACTGCGCAAATGTTGGCTTTTTGAGAACAGTGAGCAGTTAAGCCCTCATCCAGGGCAGAATTTACCATCAGGCAAAGCAGGCACGTGCCTACAGGCGCCCTCCATAGAGGGGCACCGTGCAAGAACCTATTCTTCCTCATTCCCAGTGCTGTGTCAAGATACAACACCAGCAATAGCAAGGAGGGTATATTCTGCACAAAATGCACCCTCCTGCTCCAAGACCAGCAGCACCTACAGGAACCCCTGGCTTCCACAAATGCAGGGGAAGGTCTGTGTAAGACTGCCTTGTACAATGCCTGTCTCTGCATATGTGAAAGCCAGCGGGACCCGCAGCAGGTAAGGGCGCCAGCTCAGGCTAAACAGATTTCCATTCTTGACTACAGGCACCCAAAATGGAAATTCAGCCCTGCCCTCTCCCTTTCTCCTGCGTTTATTATCACTATAGTTAATGGTATTCTCATCTTCTGATTAAAGCAGAATTACAGGTTCTGGGACCACCCAGCTATGCAGCCTTATGCATTACAAAAAATGTCCCGCCTTCTCTGGTGGCACTGGTTGGTCTTTTCTGATGCACAGAAGAGCGCTTTTATATTGGCGTGTGGCTAACATTCTATAAATCACTATTGTCAAATATAGTTCGCTGCTTCTCGTTTGTGCGGACCGGGGTGTCTGTTGTTTGTCAAAGAAAAACAAAAAGTAGGGAAGGAAGCGAATGAATGGTGCGGTATTTGGGATACCATTCATAATCCATCCATCAGGCCCCCACTCCACATGGACCCCCATCTCCAGACAGGTTTCCACTTAGTTGTGGCGCTGCCTTCCCTACTTTTTGTTTTTCTTTGACAAACGAGGGACACCCTGGTGCGCACAAACGAGAAGCAGCACACTGAGAATCAACTTACCTGCCCACACTTCCCCCCTGAAGAGTGCTTTACCACGGGACAATTCTCCTAACTTTTCATATGAATCACTATTGTGAGCCCAGGCCATTGTGATGCACCCCAGGGTCTTTTTGTGGGCAACAGAGCCATAGTTGAGGTAAGTATTGTAGGTACCTACTCTGTCTAATTCCTGGTTCTGTGTCAAGATACAACACTGGCAATAGCAAGGAGGGCGCATTCTGCATAAAATGCACCCTCCTACTCAAAGACCAGCGGCACCTACAGGAATTAAGCGCTGCACAAACTGTTGGTGCTATATAAATCCTATATAATAATAATATTAATATTGTAGTGAAAGCTGTTTTTTTACTTTCACAGGCAATGGCCTAAACATTTTTAAAGAAAAGTTGGAGTTGGGCATTTAAAAGTCTGCAAAATGCAGAACTTAGAAAATAAAGCTCATCCAACTTAATCCTTGTCTACAGTGGTGTATTAGAGGAAGGTTGCCACAAATATGTTACAAGAGGTTGCAGTCTCTAGGCAAAGGTAGTAAGAGAGGTCTGCTGAATATTGCTCTAAGAGATTATATAATATTTAGATTAAAGAAGGTGAATTGAGCAGGCTTAAGGCCTGATTATAGTTTTTATAGTTTTTATAGTTGATTTAACTGAATTAAAGCAAAGATTTCCTACTGTGCTCCCTTAGTTGATTCCAGAGGTAGGCACAGTGTCATGGTACACCACCCTTATCCCGCTGGTGATTGTCCTAGGAATCACTGCAATCAAAGACCTGGCAGATGATATTGTAAGTTAAAAAATAACAAATAAAACCTGTATCACATTTCTTTTAAATTTACCAAATACAAATGACCATACCCATTTAATTTTTCTAGGCTCGTCACAAATTGGACAACACGATAAACAACCGATCCTGTGAAGTTCTAACAGATGGAAGGTGATTATATAAATTCATACAGGTGTCTATTCTGTTAATGCCAAATAAACAGTTTGTTTGAGGTACCCTTAGACTCTGGGTGACAGTCTCCTGATTCAGCTGAAATAATCTAATGACCATGGAGCACCACACACAGTGTTTTTTTTCCTTTGTCAAAGGATCATTACATGATTGGACAGAGTAGCAAAACCTTGTCTGTTTTTCTTGCAATAGGCCACCTGTACTCTTAAAGGTTCTAAAGAGGTGCAGTGCTGGTGAGATAGGTGTGATTGTCCACTGTACTTTGCACATGCACAGCAGGTACACTTTCCACTCTTCCCTGACCTCCCCATAAAATACCTGGACACAGTAAATTATAGATCACTACCTCTAGTCCTTACCTAATCAGAGGAAAGGACTTATCACACAATAGAGTACTTCTTCCTTGATTGATTTATACATGATCACCCTGGAGAATGGATCTTCAATTATCCATTTACAGAAATATCCCAGTTTTCCTCTTTTATTACATTTTATAAAGATTCTAAATCTTTTTCTCTGGCGGTCCATGAATCCTCAATATGCTCTTTTCAAGAGCTATGGCCACCAGAAGAATCTTCAGCACTCAACATTTCCGAGTGTGTCAGATGCCTTGGTACCTTACTGTTTACTGTGGTTCCTTCTGTTGGCCCCTTCCTCATTGATGTGTCATTTTGTGGCAAGGGCTGGCAGATAGAATCATAGTGTGCAACCCGGGAAGCAGTGTTGAATGCTAAAGATTCTGCTGAAAACCATAGCATTTGAAAAGAGAAAGTGAAGACCTACTTCCAGGGCCAGATTTACTCTCTCTGCTGCCCCAAGGCCAGGTTCCTCAATGCGTCCCCCTACCCGCTAAACCTCTCCTCATGGAGAAGGGCAGACCTGCAGGCTACATACAAGTGATATCTGCGACATCGCCAAGATCACTTGTACAAAACAAGTGGCGGCTTCCCCGCTGTACATTTAGCTCTGCTTGCCCAAAGCAGGGCTAAATGTAGGAAACCACCACATGCCCGGCGCCCGGAACTGCATGTCCCGGGCATCGGGAGATAGGAATTCTACTCCCCTGCTGCCCATCTACTCCCTGCTGCCCCAAGGCCGGGCCTTGGTTGGCCCTTTGGGAAATCCGGTCTTGCCTACCTCCTACCAGAGAGGTAAGTATTAAGATTCTTCTTTTGGAAGCTTCTTTTTTAGAATTTTTTTTTTCAAACAACAGAGTCACTTTATTAGGGTCCCCAACTTAAATACACCATTATGTGCTACCCGGGAGAAGCTGAATAAACACTTCTTTTTAGTTCCACACATTTTTTAAATGTAGAAAGGCAGGACCACTAGTTTTAATATCCCACCAGGTTAATTCATGTTCAGTGAAGACCACATGTTGAAATGAGAAGTAGAGCCCGAAATGTGGCAGCTTTAATTACTTTAATTATCCTAGTAAAAGTCAAGTTTCACCCCAACTCTTGATCTTCCCTAATATTCATTGTAGCTGTCTATTACATTAAAGAACCATTGGGATGCTGAAAAGATGGCAAGGGTGGCACCAAACCGAACTTAGCAATGTCCCAGTCTAAAGTGATGCTTCAACCAACAACAGGCATACTTTTTATTCAGACTTCACAGGTCATTCTACACAACAAATTGTTTTCTTCAAAATGGCTTATACAACAAAACAGAATTACTGGACACTTAAAGCCACCCCGGGTCTCTTTTAGGCCTTCAAAGTCAGTTCTGTTCTGCTCTGTTCAACTCTTCTGTCAGTGCCTCTTCTGATTGACTTTAACCTTCTGGTTATAGGTATCTATTTATCTGATTGGGGAAAAAACAACCTCCAATCGGGGGAAAGAACTTCTGTTACAATTATAATACTACATGATAGCAGAAGCATAAAATTCTGTAAGGACCGCAAGCAAAAAGTCACAATTTGCATATAATCTCAGTTGACTATATTTCTGGAGCTACTGGACATTTTGCCGTATTTCAATCAAGGAAACATCCTTCTGTGTTTTTATTATATGTTTTGTTTAAATTGTGACAAATTTAGTTTAAAGAGTCTTTACTTTTCAAGACTCCAACTGTAACCCTGACTCTAAATAATGTTTTTTACATAAAGGTTTCAAAAGAGCAAATGGAAAGACATTTGTGTCGGAGATATCATACAAATTAACAAGGATGAATTTGTTCCGGTGAGTACCATTGTCCAGTGTGTATGTGTATTTACTGTAGCTATCTAGTACAAGCCGTTGTCTAAGGAGAGTGTCATCACTGATCTGTTTGACTATAAAACTAGTAAAGTTACGATATAGGGTCTCTTGCCTATATAACAGATAGTGGGCAGCACAGTGGCGTAGTGGTTGGCGCTTCTGCCTTGCAGTACTGGGGGTCCCTAGTTTGAACTCATGCCAGGCCACTATCTGCAAGGATTTTGGATGTTCTTCCTGGGCTTGTGTGGGTTTCCTCCCACACTCCAAAGACTTGCTGGTAGGTTGATTGGCTCCGGTCTAAATTGGTCGTCGCTATATAAAATGAATAATGAAATAAATAATAACATACAAAAATAAATATAAATGAAAATATATCAAATAAATCAAATGAAATAAATGAAATAAATAATAAAATATCCAGCTCCCGAGTTAGCAGTAGTACAAGTCAGGGTCCGGTCTATTCAACCGTAAAGCCAGTAGTGATACAATACATGAGATTGCTTGGGCACTACAATGGGATCCAGTTGCTAAATTTAGAGGTCAGCTAAAAATGTTTTAATTTTTATGTTTATTTTTCTCTTAGTTTTACCGGGGAAAATAGTGCTAATAAGCAGATGATTAATTAATTTTCTCCTTCATTTTACAGGCGGATGTTCTGCTTCTCTCCAGCTCTGAACTAAACAGCCTGTGCTACGTGGAAACGACTGAACTTGATGGGTACTGAACCTTCATTTTCTTTATTCACAAAAATAAATGTCAAGCCCTACCAGAGGATTTACACAAGAAATGAGAAAAACATTTTTTTTTACATAAATATAACATTTATTTCATAAGAATAATTTGGATTTTCATATCTACCCGGCAGGTGGAACTCTAGGCTGCTTTTTATTTGCCAGACCAGTCTTAGTTGCTTTGCTGAAAGAAAGCCGATTGTTTACAGGGCTCAGTAGCACAAGCTTAAAAGAGAACTATGGGTTAAGTGTTTTCCCCATAGTTCTCTTTAAGGTCATGGGAGGATATATACTAACCTCCTCCCGTGACCCAAAGCTCAGTATATAGTGAGCTATATACTGAGAGCTCTGCAGCGGGGACGGATCCCAACAATACTGTTGAGATCCACTCAGCTGCATGAGTGACAACTGGGTCTGCCTATCTAGAAGCAGAGCCAGCTGTGTCCGCCCCCTCCCCCGTTCGTTCCTTCACTCAGCGCTGGAGGATCGGAGAGGGGAGGGGTGAATCTCTGCGGGAAGCCGTGACCGACAGTCAGGGAGATGATCGAGAAGTGAGTGGATCGGTGGCATATTTCTGCTCACTTCCCGATCAATAGAGCTGACCTGTGAGAGCTTCTTTGTCACAGGTCAGCTCTAACTACGAGGATGAGCGGAAATCACTAACCTCATAGTTCTCCTTTAAATTTAACAGCAGCAACTGACCAAGACAGAACAGTGACTCCTGTCCCTTCCTGTTTATATAGAGATTATAAAGTGGTCAGGGCACATTCGAAACAAAGTTTTAACTTTTTTGTGTCACAAGTTCCCTGTAGAAGAAATAACTACACTATTGCACTCTCTAACTGAAACCTCAGACACATTTAAAGATACAAAATCTTATTCAAAATAAATGTGAAATGTTTCCAAAATGAATGTTGTTGCTTCTAATAAATGTTTTAATATTTATAGAGAAACAAACCTGAAGTTTAAAATGGGCCTAGAAATAACAGACAAGTTACTACAAGATGAAAAAGCCCTGGCCGAATTTGATGGTGAGTTTGTCATGTGTCACATTTTCTGTGAACAATCGTATTATTGTTGTATTGTCTCCATACATTCCGAGGTTTGACATCCTTTAAACATGCAAAATAATTAAAGTGTATCTCCTTGCGTTCTCCAGTTTTCCAGTCCAACAATTTTGGTAATATAAGATAAAATGATGACATTTCTTTCCTAACATTATGGGGTCTATTCACAAAGCTACCAAAGGATCTAGCCGTAGCTTCGGCTCATCCTTCGGGTAGCTTCGGCCCCAGGACCCCTCCGGTTCAGGGCTGCTATTCACTATAGCCTGTACAGCCCCCGAAGTTGGCCGAGGGGCTCAGTCGAGCCGAAGGCATATGCTTCGGCTCGACTGAGCCCAGGGAAAATTCGAAGCTGGCCGAACGGCCATCTTCTGACAGCTGGGCGGAGTCAGCCATCATCTCACCGCTGGCTCCGGCCACTTGCAGAGAGATCAGCTTCCCTGGTTACTAGGTAACCAGAGACGCCATTCTATCATTACACTGAGAACCCGTCGGAGCTGCTGTATAATCACAGCAGCTCAGCCGGGTTATGTGTGTAATGACAGAAGGCGTCCCTGGTTACCTGGTACTAGGTAATCAGCAGACGCTGTTCTGTCATTAGGATGAGAGCTTAGCAGAGTCGTCTTTCATATCCCGTCCGGCTCCGACAAGCTCTAATTCTAATGACAGCTGGTCCTGACCAATATAAAACAGTTGGGCGGAGCTAGCTGTCACTGCTAGCTCCGCCCAATCGTTTTCAAATACCGGAACAGTGTTCGGCTCACTTGACTTGGGGTCGGTTGTTTACTCGGCTGCCTACGGCAGCTTTATGAATAGACCCCTATGAGTGATGATGGAATCAGAGGAATCAGCAATTGACAGATGTGCTATTCTCCCAAATATGAACCTATCAGATCTATAGAGAATAGTTTAGTGCAGGAAAATTAAGATTTCTGAATTGTATGATTCTGCAAACACTTATTGAACTGAATCAAGCAAGTCACCAAATCGATTCACCTGTTTTATTCTATTATGCCTGTGCAGGCTTCCTCATCCTCTTGGAAATGTTCATATTTCATGAATGGAATATTTGCTCAGATGAAACTATATCTACATTTTGCCAACCTAATATATTTGCCCCCCTCCAACTGGACACAGAGGGGTCACTCTACACCAAGCCTTTGTTTTCAGCTATGGGTGAATAAGCCATTGGCTCAAGATATGCATCAGAGACTAAAGTGGAGCTTCTGGTGCATCCCTTGATAGAGTAGTGTCTATTTATTAAAAAAAAAAAAAATCTCATAGCTTTTCATCCAACGAAACTGCTGTTACATTTGTGCTGTGCGAAATTAACCAGCTGTGGTAAGAATGTGGCAAAATCAAATGTTTTTAGGGCTATTTTCAAATATTATGCATAGTAATGAATTGAGAAAATATCTCATTATGGCCTCTAGGTGGAGCTGGAGATCGCAGGAAACAAATACATGTTAGTAACAGGATACAATGTAACAGTGCTAGAAAACTCTGAAGGGAATTAGCAGATAAATGTAACTATTGCTACTGTGGGGATCCCAGTAGTAGCAACGGTTACACATCTACTAATTCCCTCCAACAATCTCTAAAATTGTATCTATTGTTACTAAGATTTTGCGCTATTATCACAACAGATGTTTTTTTTTGAACAGAGTGAATGTATATGAAGTGTCACAGGACAAATCACTATGAAAATTCTTTTTTAATAAAAACCCATGTGTTCATATTAAAGAGGAGAAGGGGTGGAGTTAATTCTATTACTCTTGTAATGTTCATGGCAGGTGCAATAATATAGGGGATCGTTTACAAATGTTTACAATTCTAAGTACATTCCTGTAGATTCATTTCATGTGACTAATCTTTCAACAATTGCCTTAAAGTGTATTTCCACTTTAGCAGTCAAACTGGAGAAATCCCCTCTATATGTTTGTTATGTGCTCCCATTCACACCGCATAATTAAAACATTATTTCTTAACTTTTAGATGTTTAGTCACATCAGGTAACGTGGCTGGTTCCAGGTTTTTCTCAGCACCTTCACCGTGATCTGTCCTTATAAAATAACTGAGGACTGAAATTTGAGAATTGTGTTTCATTAACTTCATTAACATACAATACCTAAGCCAAGATTGTAATCTTTCAACCTTTTTTTTCTTTTAAAAATCGGTTCTGGTTTTTTGTTATTTCAGGATTCGGGTCCGAAATTCATTTCGGTTCGGAGTTTTGGATTCGGACGAAATCTGAATTTTCATTAGTTTCAGATGAGTTTACGAATATTCGTTACGACTACCACAGAAAACCATATACAGATAATAATACTAAAGTTGAAGCTCCTAGACCCGAATGGCATTCAGGAGTCCGAATTTCTGAATTTCCGAATAGAATTCGGGAGCTCCAGAAAGCAATACGGGTCAGGGAGCCATATACAGGTGAAACTCGAATAATTAGAATATCGTGCAAAAGTAATTGCAGTAAGTGCTGCAAAAGGGGCCCAAACCAAGTACTGAGTACATATGCATGCTTGTACTTTTCAGAGGTCCGATATTGTTCTATGTACAATCCTTGTTTTATTGATTGCATGTAATAATCTACTTTTTTGAGGTTGTGGATTTGGGGTTCTTGGGGTTTTCATGAGCTGTAAGCCATAATCATCACAATTATGACAAATCACGGCTTGAATTATCTTGCTTTGCATGTAATGAGTCTATCTCATATATTAGTTTCACCTTTTAAGTTGCATTAGTGAAATAAATGAACTTTGCACGATATTCTAATTATTCGAGTTTCACCTGTGCATACATACATAATATTAAAACTTCCAGACCCGAATGGCATTCTGGAGCTCGCGAATGCTATTCGGAAATTCGGACACCATTCGGGTCTTGAAGCCTCAGCTTTAGTATTATGTATATACAGTATAATTAGTATTCAGTAGTATGAACTAATATTCGTTGCTGCATCATTGGGAGCCATATATATATAAAAAAATATAGCGAAGGCACGTCTGATTGGCCAGAAAAGTCACATGTCCGATTCAATTTAGTTTTTAAACAAAATTTGGACAGGATCTGAAATTTCGTAAACGGAAATTCGGATTCGGACACATTCGGATGCATTGGGATTCAGAAATTCGAATGTGTCCGGATATCCGAATTTCGGAAAATTTTGATTCGGAACGAATCTCACATGTCTAATAAGGAACAAACCCCTAGCATTACAAAGAAGGAGGAGCCAAGTAAACAATTCAACTCTTAAGGAGCCAAGAAACCCTGACCCAAGTAAAAGCAATTTAAACTGCAAGAAGCATTTTTGATTTTTTGTTTAGCTTATTCTATGTAAATGGGAACATGTAACAAATATAAAATAGGGGTTAAACCAATTTTGATTGCATAAGTAGAAATTTTAGTATTTTTTATGCAAAAACTAATAAAAATAATAATTAAAAAAATTGTAATCCTGCATACACTATCCCTAATCTTACTCTGCGTTCTCTTTTTCTTGTTCCTCAGGCATAGTGAAATCTGAGGAGCCCAACAACCGTTTGGATAAGTATGTGGGCACTCTGTTCTGGAGAGGATCGAGTTCCAGCCTTGATAACGATAAAATATTACTTCGTGGCTGTACAGTACGCAATACTCTCCACTGCCATTGTCTGGTAATATTTGCTGGTAAATGTCACATTTATATCGAATTTGATCAATTCAGCCATAAGACTATATTAGCCATTTGCTCAATGACTATGCACATTTCAGCTGTCTGTCTCATGAAAGATAATGTTTGATTGGCTGTCCCATTGCTCTTCACCTTATTAAAGACGGCATTGTTATCAAATAGAGAACACATACAAAAATACTGTTTTGACTTGATGGAGGTTTCTTTAAGCTGTGCCCAAATGAAATGAAAAGCTGTAATTGTTTTATTGTTAGACATATTGTTATATCCTGGGCAGCAGGGGATGAGTTGCCAGATTTGGGTGTTGTTAGGGCTCCTGGAGCAGAGAATGATAATGGCAGGAGCACATTTGATATTGAAATCAGACTTGCATTGGGTGTGCTTGCTTTGTAAACTTGGAGAGGTGAAGTGCACTAGGTGGGGTAGCACCTACCTGTTGCATTTTTTTGTGCCCCAGATGTGCATGGTCTGATTGCACAAAGCTGTGGCACTTCTTCCCACTCCCCATACATTCCTGCTGGCCTGTCACTGTAATGGGCTTCCTCATTAGTCAATAGGAATGTGTAGGGGTTGGGAGGGAGCCGTCAAGCTTTCACAGTATCAAGGAGAGCCTAAGCTTTGCCCAAAACATTGCTGTATACCTGTCAGCAGGTATTGTTAAAGTGACAGAGAGGGAAAGAACTGGATGAACAACACCAGTGACGGGATGTTCACTCCTACAACCAAGAGCAGATTGGGGGTGAAACAGTGGCACAGAGCCTGCAGAATATCAGTATCCTAAAGTGACAGTAATCTTAGGAGTTAAATATAAAAAAATAAAATGTTTAATAAAAAATACATTCACATACCATAACTATAAACATAAATGTATCTTATTTGTGTATCACTCGGCTGTAGATCCTCAAATCATCTCTGAATTGGTGCTGACACTGTCCTTCCTTCTGGAGGGGGGCTACTTTTGGAAATACAACAGCTTATGCTTATGCTACTTTTATGTCTTTTGAGCACTAGATGGCGCTGTAGTGCAATTTCAGTCTCTATGCTTAAACATGTTTATGATCTTTATGTTTCCTGTTTGATGATGCTGTCTTCCTGTATATACAGTACATGTATGCAACGTTCTTGTAAGCAAGTACAAATTAATTCAGCATTCCTCAAAAGATCTCAGTGCTTCATCTTAGCACATAACCAGCAGCCACTTTGTTTCCCCATGGTCCCTGTGTGTGTTGTAAAGTAGCCCCCCTCCAGAAGGAAGGACAGTGTCAGCACCACTTCAGAGATGATTGGAGGATCTACAGCCGAGTGATACACAAATAAGATACATTTTTATTAATAGTAATGTACTTGAATGCATGTTTTAAGATTTAACTCCTGAGTTTTCTGTCTCTTTAAAAGTGTTGTCAACCTACTTATGCTATACAGCCCTGTAGAACAGCGCATATGGGAAGATCAAAAGAGTATTAATATTATTTAAAGATCCAGTATAACTGTCATGATTCGGAATCAGGCTCAGAGTCCAGTAGCTGAAACAGCAGGCAAATTCGTGGTATAAAAGGCCGAGTTTGGTACACAAGCAGTCGGTAGTAGTATAGGAGCAGGCAGAAGCGTAGTCAGAGAACAAGCCGAGGTCAGTAGCCAAAGATATCAGGTATAAAGCAGAAAATTATGAGGGTAGTCGGTTTATCACCAGCCAAAGGTCGGTACACGGGTAGCAGTATAAGAGGATTGTAACACAGAAGGAGCAGGAGCACAATAATCTGGCAAACAGGAAGTGCAGAGGCATGGCTTAATTAGGAAGTTCAAGGAAGGAGCAAGGAGTTCAGAGTTCAGCAGAAACTAGGATTAGCTGAGGATTACACATGAGAGCAGGCAATGAGCTATCCAAGGTTTCAGAGTGGCTCAGCAGGTAGAGTGTAACGGGAACCGCCGACTCCGCTCACCTGGGGCCCGGGGGGGGGGCACGGTTCCACCGCTTCTCGCCGCCGGCCACCTGCGTCCCACGGGGGAGCGCACACATCCACTCCCGGGTTCGGAGGCCGGATGCGTTCCACC